TATTAAAATAAACGTGTATAAAATCATGTTTGTTTTATTTTCCTCTATATAAATAATTTGAATTTAAGTATCTTAAAATATTATTTAGTTTTATGTTAAAATATTTTTCATTTTACTTTTTGAAGTGTTTTCCCATTAATTGTGCTTCATTTATTTGTTGATAAGTCTTTAAAAAATAGGACATAGTGGTACCATTTGTGCAATGAAACAGAAAACAACATGAAGAGGAAATTAAAGTGAATAGGAAATAAATTAGTTTTTCCTAAAAAGAGACTAAAATGAAAGAATGGTTACTGTGAAATGCAATAACTGCTTTGGAAAATACTTTCTCAAGTATTTATCTTTGATGTGGCAGGTATATGCATCAAGCATATGTATTGGGTAAGGGATTCTTTTTCATTATTCGAAATAATTATCCTGAATAAATAATTGAAAATTGAAAATATGTTCAATGATTTATTAATAAGCATTTAGTTTGCAGATCATGCAGAATCGTTTAATTTGATTTGATTCTGTTATTTGTTAACAGACCTTTTGGAATTGATGTTTGTTGTTTCGGATATTTAGGAATAACACATTAAACGAATGCATTTGTATGTATTCTGAATATTGAAGATTTGAATATCGTTTTTCTTTCACGCAGATAAGTGAAAATGCTTAATTTTAACATCTCATTATTATTTATTAACAAGAACGGTTGGATTTCTTGGTGTGAATTGCTCTTCACCTTGTCCTTTTCCAACATTTGGCTGGAAATGTGAGGGGGATTGTAAGTGTAAGAATGAGAGTTGTCATCACGTGTTCGGCTGTAAAAGACATGCAACAACATCAGCAGGCAATTACTTAATTATTATGTAACATTTAATTTCTATTAAAAACCAAAGGACGTTGTCAATTAAATGTGTTCAATTTAAAATAGTTTGACTTAATTTGACGAAAAATGGTAAATATATCAAAACAAAAATTGCAGTAAATATAAAAATGAAACTGATTTTATGAGTTTGCACTTAAAGTCTGACAAAAGCTGTACAGATAAAAGTAATTAAAGAGGCTGATCAATAGGAATTAAACTTTTAAACCGGACGGTCCCACGAAATAAGTCATGGGAATGCAGCTCCTATTTACCTGTTTATGAAAAGATGTATTTGGTTAGGGCGAAGAAGGAACCAATAGTATTGAAGTGACCCGAGGTCAGATATTTGGATAAATTAGCTACAACAAATAATATTTAAAGATTATGCAAAAGATTGGAAATTATTTTAAAAGTGCATTAGAAATTTAAAAAGTACTCAAAGTCAGAATAAAACTAATTAAAATTAATTTTAAAATTTAAAGTAATTATTGCAAATTTCGAAGGAGTTACAAATATGAAGATGTTAATCTCCAAAGGTATACGTAGTATAAAATGAGCCGCCGGGATAGAAATGATTTCAGTGGAAAGCTGAATCTTGACTGTCTTGGTTGCATTTTATACAGGTGAGATAATTTTCTAGACTTGTGCGGTTTTTGTCAAATTATTAAAATTTTCACTTGGCTTAATTTAGTCACAGGTTACAATCTTTTACATCATAAATAGTAATGTTTAGTACAACTCACAGTATATACTGAAGAAATTATTTACTGTAAGCATAACGATTACAAATAGATTGTTTAATTTAATAAAGAGTGGAAAGCTGAATCTTGACTGTCTTGGTTGCATTTTATACAGGTTGGGTAACATCGCCACTCCCCAACCATGGCAGCCTTTCTGGTCCACAAATTTAGAAGGAATTTATACTAAAAGAAATAGCAGGAATTGAGTCATCCCGGTATCACATGTGTACCAAAACATTAACATCCAGTTAATGAGTTAATCTGCCTATAGGAAAAAATAAACAAGAACCATTTTCCTTTTATTTATTTTTTTTTATGAAAAATACATTTATTTTACAATTGATAGAATTTGCGGAACAACAGCATCCTGAATCAACTATACTTCCCTCTTCAAATGGTAAATACATTCTTTTTTCTGCAATTCTTCTATAGATTTTTGAGGATTTTTCTTTTATCAATTAAACACACTATTTCATCAACATCAATAATCTCCTATTTAATGTGTTAAATTTACTCGATATGTCTATATATATAATAGAGATATAAATAATAAAAATCACTTTGTTCATTAGTAGAGGAACAAACGATATAGCTATTTTGGAAAAAAAATTCTAAACCCGCTGAAGATTACATATTATTTTTCTGCAACAGCTGCATAATTAGGTATAGATGAAAAAAACACACACACAAAAAAAATGAATGCCTGGATTGGTATATATTATTTGGCCATATTTTATTGCAAAGGATGCGAATAACAAATTTCTAAAATATATACTTAATTTAGCCACAAATACAAGCAACCCTAGTAACACGAATGCGAGCAACACTAACATAATGAACCTTCATCTCTCTGACATAGCAACAAGTACAGAACTGAACTCTTTGGTGTATGGAATAACCAGTCTTGGGATTGTAGCTGTCTTTATACTAGTATTGTATATGCTAACGTTTATTTTGAGATGTTATTATTGTATGAATATTAGTACAGAGATGTGAAGACTTTTTCGCTTATTGGTTGTACAATGCCTACTTTATTACCGCATGGTGATAAGAATGATTATTTATAACAGTTGCTGTTTTAAAGTTGATTTTAATGATAAAAGTTAAAACATGTATGTTTATCATTTTTAGTTGTAAAAAACATCAACTATGCATAATTAAAACAATTATTGACATACAGCATTTAAAAATATAAAAACTTCTACTGACCATTAGTGTAGTTGCTTAAAATTGCCGGAAGGAAAGTTATGAACGAAAGCTTTATACATGCTTCAGAAAGTCAGCATTTAACTCAATACAAAATTTTTTTGCTAACAAAGTAATTGAATTAATTGATTAAATCAACCTTAAAACTTACGAAATTCTGACTTTTGAGGAGACTGCTGATATTGTGCTTCATCAACTCGTTTGTCTACGAGTTACCTCGTTTAAGGCTACAGCAAGTAGTTTCTTTCTTCTTTTAAGTAAAAGAGATGGACAATTTTGTTTCAAATGTATATACAACCAGGTCTACTTAAGACGGTACGCAATTGCTACTTATGGATATTTCTATATATTGTTGAAAGACCTGATCTAAAAAAAACAATGCTAAATTTTCTCTCAAATCATTAAGACTTACATGTTAATTGATGCGTACAATTATGGATTACAAATTATATTTTGTACTTATTAAAACAATTTAGGCTAAGATCCAAATCCGTCTTAAAAGTAAGAACTTTCCATATTTTACTGCCGATACCTTTTGTTACTTAAGGTCAAACATTCCCCTTTTTGAGCATTAAACCCGTATCATAAAAATAAGTTTCATGTCCGCATCCAACATTTCTAAAAAGTTAACTGCTATCATTCATATTCTGTTAGGCATTAGAGACAGTTAAAAATCACGGTCATACGAGAAAACTGTTAATAAGGAAAACACGTTTCGTAGTATTAATAAAAATAGATTTCTGTACTGACGAATTATTATAATAGATTTGTTTTTAGGGAACAATCTCTTAACAAATGGATTTAATTAAAAGCAGGTTTATTAGAAAAAAATATTTACACTTTGAATTAATGTGAATGAAGCTGTTTTAATATAGCTCGTTAGTTAAAAAAATATTTTAATTATCATTTGGAGTCTTTTTAAAAAAAAAAACGTTTGAAAATATTCTATGATTGCTTTTATATTTTGATGAATGATTGTTTTCCTTATTGCTTTCGATTATTTGATAAATTCTATATTATAAAAATAAAGGGACATAGAACATTAAGTTCATTTCAATAAAAAAAGTAATCACATGCCCTGTTTGCAAGTAAATTACAGAGTATAGATAGGAAATAATTTCATTTTTTTTCCATTGAAAACGAGAATAAAATCGACAGTTTATTGTAACTTAAGCGTTGAACAGAATGCTAATGAAAAAAGTATGGTATCTATGACACAGAACACTTGGTTTAGAGAATACCTATTACAGTATTTTTTTATACATTACTTAATGCGCAGTTACAGGTATCATCTTCAAACAGATGTGATGGGTGAGAAATGCTTTTCGAAATATTCTAAATATTCAACTATTTATGTATTTTCTGAGTTTAATATATTATTTTTTTCTATAAATGATTGAAAAGCAAAATTTTTACTTTCAAATAACACTGCATATAAAATTATATATAAACATGTAAAATTTGTTGTCAACCGTAAATATTTTTTGCAGACCCAATGGCTCTTCCATCTGTTGCTTTGGATATCTGTGGAATGACACACTTAATGAATACGTCCGTATGTATTATTAATTTTGAAGAATTACTTATTTTGTTTTAGGTAGTCCATAACATTATTATAATGCCTCTTGTGAGTTAACAGTGAACAAAAGTTAACATTAATAAGGCAACGGCTTGTTTCAATTTGTTTACTTCTTTTTCTTATATTTTCCATTACTTATATTGCATATAAAATACGTTTATCTTGTTGTTTGGTATAAATCGATTTCCTAGTAATTTCGATGTGTATGTGTTTCCATCATTTTATAATTTAAAATCAAAAATATTCTCACGGAAGTTTTCAATAAATAATTTACTTTGGATTACAACTGTGTTTTAATGAATACGCCGAAGGAATACAAGAAAATAATATGATAAACAGAATGTAATGATGACTTGTACTTCGCGACAGGAAATCTAATCCATTTCAATTTAGTAATAACATGGGAAAACGCTGTATTTCTACATAGTAAATACTATGTATATTTGGATTTTGTTTTGCTCATTGATAATTGGTTACCAGTTAGAGAAGTCTACAGCACTGATTTGCAAAGGGTATCTTTTTTTCGATCATCCAACCTGTCAGTATTTCAAATTCAATAACTTTTCTTTTCAAATGTGTCTTTTCTTCTCTTTAAAAAAATTAAATCATACTCTACTTAATAGGCACAATGGTTTGGAATGCTGTGGCGGATATTTTGGAATTGTTCTGAATGAGACAGTTCATAACTGCACACGTTAGTTGTTTTGCTTATTGCTTTAAAGACAAATACTATTCAATTGGAATTGCATGTATATTATTTTGATTTTAATGACCTGAATACATGACCGAAAATGATACTTATTACCTACAATAAGGGGAATCTTTGAAGAATGAATTTTCTTCATTCTTATAAATAGGGGGAAAATATATTATCATGGAATTGTATAAGTGAATTTCCTTTTTTTTATTGATAAGAAAACTATATTTACATGGGACAAAGATTACAACACTTAATTATGTTAACAGTACTGTGTTTTTTTCCCCAGTCATTGAATATTCGAATGCATACAGGTTCTGGCCTATCTTTTGCCCAGCTCTCCGTCAGTCTATCAATCCGTTTTTTTGCTCTTATATACTATAATTGGAAAAAATTACCTAATATTTCATTGACGGTTCGACTTTAAGCTATCATATTTCCCCAAACAATAAGGTGTTTCTTGCGAAAAGACCATTTTTTAAGATGTAACATTTTTGATGTGATGAATTTGACATAGACAGTTGATTTTTTGTAAGATTTCAGCAAGGCCTAGATTTTGCCTAGTTCTTAAAGTCTTATTATTAACGACAAGGTTGCAATATTTCATTTACATATTCCCCGTGAAAGGAAGTTTTAAGGCATGATTATGTTTTCCTCCTTGAGCGTCATGGCCTTGAACTTCATGGCTTCGCTGTTGAACTGTTAGTTTTAATTTTGTCATGTTTAAGACGTACATGTATGTTCCTTGTGACAAGCAGTTCCTTGGGAAGCATTATTGTTTAAAGTTCGTGGCACTGAATTAAGGGTTCGAAAACCTCGTTTATGTAGATAACGTGCTTATGTTAGATTTTTTCATTTGAAAACTAACCACCATTATAAAAAGTATGCTAAATGTGTTAAGCTACGAACACTACCACGAGGATATGTCTCCTTATTAGTGAAACACATAATGATTGATCATGTGTGGCATCAGGTCTAGTCAGAACAGAAACAAAAATTAAAGAAGCCCAAAAGCTGGTTGAACTACCCAATAGAAAAATTGAAATTTTGTACAATTTCATATCGGTTTTCTGAATAAAATAACTATAGTTTTAGCTGAAAGCTTTTCGATAATAAAAGTATTTACATACTATATTTATGTTTAACATCTCTTACACCTCATCTACCTTTCAATAATGTATGATTATATTCAATTATTATATGATAATTTTAAACTCTTTAAATAGGTAACGTAGTTTTATATTTAAAAGCAAGATATTTATATTGACAGTTTAAGCGAAAATATATAAACATGTAATTGAATAAAATTCTTTTTGTTTAACTCATTAAGTCAATTGAATACAACCCAATAATACTTCTTAAGGTATGCCACTCATCTGTTTTTTTTTTTTGAAAAGTTTAGTTAGAACGACTTACTTCAAAAGAATTTATTACATTTCGTTTTTTAAAACATATTTCTATGCAAAGTAAATTCTTCAACATTAATTTTAAATCAAAGTATTGAAAGATCTAAAAGCCAGGCTTTATTTGCAGAAGTATTTTGTCTTATCTGAAATTTTTGCATATTTATTTTTTTTCCTTTTGTCCATTGGTTTAATTTTTAACAGGTATCTAGTTTGTATGATTCAAAACAATATCTCATAAACCATTAATTAAAATAAACAGCCCGGACCCCAAGATAATTTATGATTAAAAAATTTAACAAATAATATTTCTAAGAAATTATCGCATATGTTCTTTTCAATAGACTTTTTTCTCATGAGTCTTGAAATATTTAAAATAATGCACATGTGCATTTAAAACATTCTTCTAGTTTCAAACAAACAGTACTTTTATCGCCAACTACATGTAGAAACACAGATAAATGTACATGTACATTGTCTAGCGAATTCACTCATGTTACTTCCAAAAATTACTAATCACAATATTATTAATTAGCTAAAAATCAAAACAGAATAAAACTACTAACATAACATTGACGAAAACGATATGAAACATAAACACTCTTTAACAATTTCAATATTTCGAAAAGCCTGTGTATTTGAAATAGTTCGCCTTCAATATGTATTTAGCAACGTATGCGCACAAATTGTTATGTCACGATTACAACGTATCCCAATAAAGCAAATATCTTATTTTTTCAGTTGAATTCTCATGCAAAATCATTTATTATTAACTTTTCAAACAAATGGGATTTTAAAAATATTGTTTGAAAATCGTCTCGCAATAGAACTATTTTGTTTACCGGATGCATCTGCTTTGACGCTGTTCGTTTTTTTTTTTTTTTTACTTTTCTCTTTAAAGTTAAACAGATTATGATGTTTATAGCCAGGACTTTGCGAGTCAAGCTAAAATGATTACAAATAAAGATGTATGAGGGACTATTTCTTGTTATGGAAGAGTTTCTTAAAATATACACTTTTATTTAATATCTTGGAATATAGGCTACATATGCATTTGCTTTAAAATATTTTCCGTCATAATATGCTAAGATTAATGGATATAGGTTTCAATTTATATTAAAAGGACACATTTTACACATTCACTCAACAAACGTTGCCAAGAAATAAAGATATATGAAGCAAGTCAAGAGAAACTTTTCACGGCTGGTGCCCAAAAATTTCATATTTTGACCAATGTTTCAGAATTGACATCACTGGTCTCAACTTTTCTTTCATTATTTTTTAATACTTGAAATATTTCGACCAATCGGCACTAAAATCATAACAAGTTTTATCCAAGAATTTTTTTGCTGAATTTTTTTCTTAATTTCCCCAAATATACTGGGGTTTTTTAAGTGCAGAAAGGTAACACAATTATTTATGCGCACTCATATGCATGATTTTTACAATGATAAATACTATACAAGATATTTTACGTAAAGTGATATAAAATAATAATTGGCATGGTTACATCTGATGAAATATAAAGGTGAAAGTGATTAACCAAAAAGTGCAAGAAGGTAAATTTAATTGTACTTAAGCTCAAGAAAAAATCACACTGACATACTTTAAAAATATATTGTTGGAAGTGAAATAAATGCATGGATTTAAATGGCATGTATTGCACAGTACGTAGTGTCCAAGCGCCGTCTCCTTTGTGATAAATGCACATATGTAAAATGTATGGTACATTATTTACATACATAAAGCATTGAATTACTTAAAATTCATAGTCATAATACAGTGAGCTTTAAAAGTTCCAAAGAACTGCGAACGTTAGTATTTTTCAAAAGTTAACATATTCGATGTTTTTTTGATATTTTTTATAGATATTTTTTTTAGGTTTACATAATACAATACTTATTTGGGAAAACAAAGAGAGATAACTCCAAAGTTTCGGCAAATTTGCATCTTTTACTACAGAAATCAATGGAAAACGAAAAGTATTTTTAAACATCCCCCTTTCACAAAATGTCCTCTTTACAGGTAATATGTACTGTTATTTCACAAATTCTTACCAAAGCTTTTTGGCTGACACTAGACATTATATTTATTGACAGAAAATGAAAGAAATGCTCTATTTTCCACCAATTCCTAAGCGATTTACAACCAAAGCATGCTATTTTATCAATATATTTATGTTTTATTTATTTGTCTAAAACATAAGAAAAGATATAAAGACCATTTAATCATATCCAAGACTATTTCAAAATATGGTGATGCCTGAAAGTCAGATTTCTGTGGAAAATTTCGTATACCCCGTTTTTTTCAAGAGCTAGAGGTATAACTAATTTAATATTTAGTGCTGATATTATGACAATTCACCAATTTCCATTGAACTACTCTATGTATTAACAAATAATGTATTGACAAATTGCCATTTATATTGATTTAAATGGTTGCAAAATGTAGGAGGGAATCGATAGTTAGCGTGCGTAATTCTTTCTTTAAAGCTTGCAAGAATGGTTTTTATGGCCAAAACTGTATGCTGAAATGCCCGCATCCATCATTCGGCGTGAGATGCCAGGAAACATGTCATTGTACTCGTGAAAGTTGTCATCATGTTTATGGCTGCAAAAGAGCATCAGGTACTTTTCTTTAAACAACTTCTACAATTTTGCAATGCATGTTGCACCGCAAACAGTGGAAATACAGCTATTTCTGTTTTTAGCTGAGTGTAGGTTGGGAACGTTTGGTGATTACTGCGAGTTTGTTTGCCAATACCCTAACTATGGAAAAGAATGCCAACTTCGATGCAACTGTGATGAAGAACATTGTAATCCGTCTAGAGGATGTAAAGGTAACCTTTGTTTTTGACATTTACTCCTAATTACTGCAGCATAAAATCCCACA